GATTTCAAAAAGGCCCGCGAACATGAGAGGAAGTTCCAGTACACGTCGGACCTGGAGACTTCGAATGTAACCATTGAGATGGGTCGTAACCATCCTCGTCGAAAGTAAGACTACCGTGCTTGTTGTCAAGACTTCTTTTAGGAATACCAGAGAACGAAGCCTCTCCCTCTCCATCAGTCCATCAGCGAAAAAACCAAGGTTGATGGTGCCAAAATCCCCGCCTTACCCCAGCTTCTCGCAGGCGACAACCCGTGCCTTGTTCCACTCAACTCCAGAGCGCATACCCCAGCATCCCGCACCCGTCCCGTCCACATCCAACCAGCCCTTATCTACGAGGTCGCAGACGGTGCACCGTCTGCCACAGTACGCTTTAAACACCGCATCGGAGATCCCTACGTTTCCAGTTTTATCCCCACCATCCGCCCCTTTATTCCAAACACCAGGAATCGCAGCACTGATTCAGCAGAACGAACAGCTGCATCGGAAAATGGACGCAATGGCGGAAGATCTTCGATACCTGAAGATCCGCATTGACAACTCTTTGTTACAAGTCCATAGTTCTGGAACTACCGGCTTTACTTTTCCCCTCCGGAGCAAACGTTCGTGGGACCAACTGGAAAGTGAGCTGGCAGAGGGACCACGCCAGATTTAACTGGTAATTCAGTGTTGGCCACTGATGAAATACTTGCGATCTTTTAGTGCAGCCACCATGGCGGACCTAGTGCGCCTGTGTCTCTGACAGGCGTTGGCTGACGAATTCGCCGTCAGTGTCGCCTACGCTGGGTCTGTTGACAACCTTCCCCTCCGCCACACAAGACTCTGCACCCTAATCGAAGGTAGGTGATCAAAGATAGCCTGTTCACTGTCGTTTCAGAAACAGCCCTCGGTAACCCAGTTTCCAAAGACTGCTGCCGACAGGATTTGGATAAAGAAATCCAAAAATGGCTCGGTAACGCACATCACCGACTGGCCCAGAGAACGCGCATGGATCATTTGGCAGTAAGTTTCGACTTTGCACTGAGACGAGTTTATCAGTAGTAACCGATACATCGAATGCTTATACATATGTTTTATCCCCTCAATTGAGGGGAGAATTGAATGCAAATAAGCTGTACAGTCAACCACAACGATCCTCATCTGGATATTTTGCACGAAGGTCATTCCGCATTTCAGCGGAAATGGAATTCAAAGAGTCAAAATGCTTTATCTGAATAAATATTACGGTTCAAATACAAGCACGGAATCTGAAAGAGAAGAACAGGGGGATCCCTCATCCTAGCATCTGTTTCCATTGTTATACAGAAAACAACTACAGACTGTTCAAAACAGGGAGCAAGCTATAGAAGTTCATAAACTTCTACGAGAAAGCCTACTGATCAGTAAGCTTTTTTTGTGGAGTAGGTCCCATAAGAAAACTAAAAATGCAAATGACATTTCTTCGATAATAGGTAGCTCAACGGTGCACTACTGATGCTTACAGGTGAATCAGTCACCCGGCGGAGGTGTGATAGCACCTGCATCCGGTGATGCACTTGGACATCCGGGCGCGCGGAAAACCGGGCGTTAGTTGGTCCACGCGCCCCTTTACGATCGTCGTGACCTTGAAGCGGAAACAGACGTTCACGGTTCTAACAATCTGTATTAATCCCACGTATGTGCGATCCACCAAGACGATGTAGAAAATGCTTGCCCTATAATCTGACGATATCCGAGAATATCGGCAGCGCGAGAAACCGATCCTTGAACAAACGTCCAAGGGTTCTACTACGTCACAGTCCGATCCAAGAAAATATTTGCAACAAACGGGGTTAATTCAGAAAAGCGAAGTTCCTCCATGCAGTGATGATTCTATTGGAATTCGCCTAAACGAACCCAAAGTCTACTGTGTGGGCGAAATTCAACCTTTAGAGGAAGCATTGACTTGGCTTGACCGGTCTGTGGTTGCGAAGGAAGATCTACTGTGGAAAAACGTTTCCCGATATTTCATTCACTCTTGCACCCGAACAGTTATTTGGAGGAATAAATGGGGAATAAACTCCGCTTCCCCCCACAATATCTAAATAAATCAGTGGTTTATTCAGTGGTGCAAATGAGCAACTAACTCTTCACCGGGCAATTACCACGTTTTTGAACATGGTTTGGATACCTTGCGAAGGATCAGTCCAATTTGCGCCTCGTAAGCGTTTGTCCACTAGCTGCATCTCACCCGTAAGTGAGTCATTCATGCACCGTATGCAGAACGCAAGCACGCGTTTTGAAAATGGTGTGTACTGGGCTGGTATCATGGATCATGCGACCCAAAAAGTTTCCAGGTGCAGCGAGCTCATCAGCAGCGCATATCGAATGGCCGTGCCAGAGTTTGAAATCCGGATCCCCGACGTGCGAGGTGGATGTTGGACCACTATTCCAACGGCGCGCGTTGGACGTATCTGAATTTTCGCGTCTGAACGGTCCAACGTGTTCAATGTTGAGAGACGTGATTCGTATGCCCGATACGCCATCAATGCGACGACCAGATCCACCAGAATTATTGCACCAGCACAGGGAGGCGACTGTTCAAACGAGAGTGATGCTACTGTGAACAATAATGGAAATATCAGTGCATCCTTTGCAGTCAAATGAGCAACGATAGTGTCTGCGGTTATGCCAGAGAAGCTGACCATTTCCTACTTTTGGTAATCCACGCAAAGTTTCGTGTGGACATAATTGATGATTTACTGATCATTTGAAAACCTCGAAGAACGTGCGCGTTTTGAGGTATGTAGTTAACAGTGCCTTCTGTGCTTGTCCGTTTATGTCACGACTGTTTGTGTGGAACCTTCACAATTCAGTTCTTTCAAGTTTTCGTTCACAAAGTTTGCCGGTAAACCCTACTTTCAGCAAATCACCCTCCCCTCTTACTTCCATGACGTGCTTGTTACGTGCCTGATGTCTAAACAAGGATGGTTTTCACGCATTGGCTGTTCGAAACGCCCTATACGTAAACAAGTATATGGTGCATCTGTATCCCTAAATCTTCAGCACTTATTCGATTGCAGCCCGGCCTGGGTACCTTTTATTTCTGGTAAGCGTGCAACGAAATTTCGGTTTGCGAGTAACACTGTTGTAAGCACGGTTGCGTTCCAGTTATCGTTCACTGACGGCCCATACAAGAACGTCTTGAATGGGCCAGTTAGGGTTTATTTGGGAGCTCGGTTCGTGGAAATGTAACGCAAATATGGAGCGAGAATACTGTTGTTTTCGTCAAAGGTGTAGCGTAGTTCACTGCCGTCATTCGAACAAAGTAGTAAGACAATTGTGAACAGGGTAAGGACTCGAAATAAGGATAGATCAAGGTCCCAGAAAGCGCAAAGGTTAGACTGCTGTCTAATGTGGAAGATAGGGGCTTCGATAGAACAGACAGAGTTAAAGACGTCAAACTGCGAGCAGCTAGTCTCTGTGAAGTTACGCAGGAAACAACATCTCTTACTCTGTTATAGTTTGTGTCTTTGATTTAAAAGCTCGTCCCGAGGAATAAATGTTGGAAACAGAAGCCGAATTCAAATGCAAAAAAGCTCTGAAAGGACATTTCTTTTTCGAATTTTGTGCATATTATTGGGACTAATAACAGGTTCAATGGTAGGCCAATCCTGCTAGCCAGAAAGTTGCAAACATCGTCCACAATGGGACTTGACGCCTTGAGAGATTGAGACGGACTATTATTGGTATACCCGTTATGTTAACCGAGCATGTAGTATAGTTCGACCGAAGGTAGAGGAGTAAATAGCGATCTTAGATCTGAAGCCACTGTACGATCCTGTGCTAAGGTCGTGATCGCAAAGCAAGGAATACGTTACTTAGCCTAAGCGCACGATCTAGGTGTCCTATCTGACAGGTAACATGTAGTCTAATTCACCAACGGACGGTCAGTAATAATTGCGGCGAAACCGAATTCTACGAATTTTACCTGCGTTTGTTCAGTAGTCGCAATTGGGCAGTGAACAATATATTGAATTGGACTTGGGCAGACAGTACAGATAGGTAGACCGTGGCTCTATAGGAAATTAACGGTAAATCGTGAGGAGAGTTAAAGAAAGGCTTACGGCTAGATTGAACCTTGGGCAGTTAGCAACACAGCATGGCACACGAACGGCAGCGTGCTATCAGACAAATTAAGCGGGAAAATTGTTCAGTTCAAAGTGGAACAAAATTTCAACAAGTCCATGGATAAATGTAAACAAATCGTCTATAGAAATGGTTGAGGTAGAGTCGGCTTTGTATAAAATAGAACGGTTCAGTCTTGAAACTTGAGCAGTCACGGAAGGGCGATGAACTATCCTGAGGAATAGGGAAACAAATAATTACAAAATAATTACTCCCGCGGGGTCAAGGGTGGACTATGATCTTCAATGGTTTGCTCGATAAGACAAATGTCGAACATCTCTCTTCAAGAGTCCCGTCACCGTTCGAACCATGACGTCACGAACTCGTCCATTTTTTTCCTGGCGTAACCGTTTGTACAACTCCCTTTGGCCAGGAACCCCTAGATACGGACGTATCGACCAAGAGAACCAAGTCCCCCACCTTGAGATCACTGTCAGATCCCGCCCATTTGTGTCTTTGATGCAGCGTAGGTAAGCATTCGTTTATGCACCGGACCCAGAAAGTATCGGCTAACTGTTGTGCCTGGGGCCATCGTCGAGTTAGCTTCGTGTTCGGTCCAGGTGAGCTTTCGACTGAAGAGTTACCCTGGAGTAACAGGAGGTGATTGGGAATAAGTGCCCCAAGGTCGAGAGGGTCATCTGATAACTTCGTCAGAGGTCGATCATTAATGATTTTTTCCACTTCGGTTAGCACAGTCATAAGAAGTTCATTGGTTACCAGTTGGTCACCAAGTAATGATCTCAGTATCTTCCGAATAGATCGTATCATTCTTACCCAGACGCCCCCCTGTGGCTAGCCTTTGGTGGAGTAAAAATCCAATCACATCCCCGTTGTATAAGAGCTTTAGACACTCTCTCCTGGTTCATCCGAAGTAGGCTCTGTCTGAGCTCAGCTTCAACACCACGGAAATTAGTGCCATTATCACTGTAAATACGAACTGGATATCCTCGCCGAGCAGTAAACCTGGAAAAGGCGCACAAAAATGAGTCCGTTTCGAGAGAACAGGCCACCTCAATATGTACAGCACGTATTGTCAAGCAAGTAAAAATACATCCGTAACGTTTTTCAACCCCACGACCTCGCTTTACCAACAAAGGTCCGAAGTAATCAATACCAGTCGCTGCGAAAGGTGCTTCATGAGTCAGCATTCTATCCTCAGGAATTGGAGCCATAATTTGTACTTCAGGTTGAGAATGCCAGCGTTTGCAGTGAAAACAAGAATGTAGAACACTCCGAAAGACTGCTTGACCTTTGATAACCCAAAATTTTTCTTGTAGCCCATTAAGAACATGCAAAGTTCCAACATGGCCTTTCAGTACATGGGTATGCTGGACGAGAAGCCTGGTTACGAAATGATGACTTGGGAGAATTACTGGATGTCTCATGTCGAAAGGCACTGGAGCCCATCTAAGGCGTCTTTCAACACGTAAAATACCTCGGTGGATAATTGGAGGGAGTCGTCGTAGTTGACCCGGCAATCGCGGGAGCCTCCAAGCGTTAGAAGATACCGTGGATTTGAGTAGTTCTATTTCGTTTGCTAGCTGTTTAGCTGTTTGAAGCGACCTAAGGATAAGACATTCCGCCTCCACCAAATCCTTTCTGGTCAATCTATCAAATAACTCGTCTCCGGGCAGCACAGATCTTCTGTGTCTCATCCATAGGCAGAAACGGCGCAGCCACGCCACTAGCCTCTTTAGCAGACTCCAACTGGACACGTGCTCAAAACGATCAATCCAATGTACATAAGTGGAGGTCGTATGTACCACCTCAGTTCCCTTTGACTTTACATGCGCAACGGGAATAGGATAGCTAACCGGTTGAGAGGGCCACTCGTTGCAATCTTTTCTCAAAAATTCAGGGCCAGATAGCCACAAGGACAATTTGGGCGTGTCGGATAGTAGACCACGGGAAGCTATATCTGCAGGATTGCATTTGCTTTCGACGCACATCCAATCTTCGGGTTCCGAACAATCAAGAATGGACGCTAGTCGGTTAGCCACGAAGGTCTCGTAACGTGTAGATCGGTTACGTATCATTTGTAACACAATCATAGAATCTGTCCACAGAAAAGAGGAATCTACGTTAATAGACAGTTCTTCTCTCACACGTGCAGTTAGCTTGGCAGACAATACAGCAGCAGTGATCTCCAAGCGCGGTATGCTGTACTTGATGGGGGCAACCCTGGACCTTCCTATCAATAGTGTGGAGTGGGGTATTCTCGGCGGGTCGATCAGTCGGATGTAGATCGCAGCATCATAGCCGGTCTCTGAAGCATCAGAAAATGCGTGCAACTCAGTCTTACAATCTGGAGCAAATGATTTGGGTCGAATACATCGTTGTATGCGAATGCTTTCTACATTTTGTAAATTCAGCAACGAGTTCTTCCATTTCAACGTTTCATTCTCAGGCATAATATCGTCCCAGGCAGCCTTCCTTCGACAGAGATCCTGAATCAGGCACTTTGCTGGCAGTAGTACTGGTGCAACCATCCCCAGAGGGTCAAACAATGAAGCTACGTAAGACAGTAAAGCCCGACGAGTGGGGATACTATTCCAGCTTTCAACCTTGAAACAGAAACAATCAATCGTATTTTCCCATAACACACCTAACGTTCTCCTTACACAGTCTGGTTGATGATCTATATGAAGTGGTGTGTT